AGAGAGAGAGAGAGAAATAGAGAAATAGATACTATAATATTTCATAATATTAATTACTTAATTCTGAAGTGTTTTAAACCCCCAATTTATTTCACTTTAACCTTAATTTCATATCACGCAATGCAAATTTATGAATCTGCATTTGGTGCAGTGTGCACCAAGTTGAAATTAACTAACCAACACGTTATTACTTCGTAATTGAGAATTATCGAACCAAGTAAAAAAACTGAAGCGCCTTCTGAACAATATTTAAACAACTGCTACTAGACCGCGAACGTTTACAGTAAGTTTGTAAATTGAATTAATGTTTATAATGCAAATTTTAAAATACAGAAAAAAGTCACGATGTGACTTAATGTGAACAAATTGTACAAAATATCCAAACTACAATGCTTATAAGATAAACATATTTATGAATAAATATAAATATAAAATATAAAAAATATTTATATAAAAATATATTAATATAAATATAAAATAAAAATAAATATAAATATTAAAGACATTTTAACAATTCGTTTCTCTCACTATATATCCTTAAAAATAGGGATTTGAATAAAAATCCGCGTGTCCGATTATTACTCTTACGAGAAACAACTGAGGCGAGTCTTCTGTGGGAACAGCCATTTAACGTAATCCCTTCTGGCAAAGCAACGAATTGAGTTTTAATATCATTCGGTGTTCTTTCATAAAACAATATCCGGCCAGAGAGCGGAAGGGGAGAAATGAAATGAAAAATTAAGCTCCCACTCCGCTGGTGAAATTACGAACTTGCGTTGATGTCGCAACATCGGCCTGATCTATGAAATTATTATGAGATCCCTACCCCGAACTCTGACATTTAATTTCGATTTTTGACTTGAAAGGAATTCTTCTTCTTGCTAGAAATGTCGGTTTTTCTTCTTCTCTTTCTCTGTTCCTCTTGGCTAACGCTTTAAGGATGGACGATACGTAGTTCATTGATATTCCGACGTATTTTTCGTACGTGAGCCCTCGATACGGACGCGCTAAAGAGGAGAACAAACGGTATCCACTGACACGTTCTAGTTACACGAGCATAAACTAATTGCATGCGAATGATTTTTTCTTTTTTTTTTTTTTTTTTTTTTTTTTTTTCCTTTCTATAACCGTGTCAACGATGCCGTGAACCACACTTGATACCATCCGATTCTTGGAAGCTTCGATCTCCGGCCATGTTCGATTGGTTAGAATTGTTCGAAGTCGATTACAAAATTTACTTCAATCAACAAGCTTTGCCTGTCTGGTTTCTTTCCTCTAGAAATTTGATTGAAACTTGGACTTCAATTTTCGATGACTTCCAATTGTTTCAAAGTTTTAATTTAGTTTCAAAAAAAAAGAGGGGGGTTAACATTGTACAGTTGTGATAAGAAAAATGAAAAAAGAACGAAGGAGCATCTAAACTGTCGACACCGAAATCTTGAGAAAGAGGAGGCAAGCTCGTAGAAGACTCTGAGTAAATAAGGATTTCACCGACGTGGATTTAGGGTTCAGAGGAATATACAGGGTGCTTCAAAATAATCCGTAAACTATCTTTCATGGTACACTCGATAACCTAAAATAATTCTTCCTTTTAGAATTTACTTCAGTCTTTTTCTACGAGCTTATCCTTTCTTTTTTCTCTTTTATCAAATTGTAATATCACTCAGTACTTGACATTTATTTGACATTTTAATTTATAAGACATACACTGAGATATTAACCAAAAGATAAGATATAATTTACAAGACATAGATAAGATATTAATTTACTTTTGTACGTTGAAAATGAATATTTCTCAATTTACTAGCTCGTCACGAAGAAAATTAGGTTAACGGATCACTTCAGTAGCTGTTTGTTACTCTGAACCGCCATGTTTTTGGGATTTATTGCCTGTGTCTTTTACTTTCAACTATTTTAACTTTAAAATGACGGAAGAAGTCCGAGTGTTTTTTTTCTTAG